GTGCGTTCTACATGGTCTCCCTGAAAACAAGACCAAGTTGCGACAACGAGGTCAACCCACTTCTATCAGAATTACTGTTTTACTGCCTAAGAGCCTTCACATTTCGTCCTCGATTAGGCCATATTTTAAGGTTTCCGAGCAGAGAATGCTCATGGCCATGCACATGCCCATGTCAGTGCCAGGGAAACTTTCTCTCCCTACGCTTCAAACACATGACTCGATTGTCCTCTCTCTCACCCCACCCTTCATTGTGTCTCTTCCTATGGTACCCTGTGTCCGGATTGAGTCATAAGCGCTGGTATGAAAATGCACCGCTTTCCTCTTTTTCTCTTGAATCGCGAAAAGCGCACTCCTCTCGTCCTTAATTTTACACAATTATCTAATCCTAGTTTATTACGATATTCAATTATTTGTTGACTTGTATCCTCTCCTTCAGGCACAGACAGGAAAAATGAACATAACACATAGTTATACACACTAGTGACCTATATCTTGCCAACATACGCCTTTAGCCTTTAATTTCATATCCTACGTCTTACAGGTGAGCCCACTGTGTAAATTTTTTTTAGTCACTTCCTCGTTTGACTCCATAGATTTTCATAGATGCTGCCGTTAAACGTTAGATTGAGTAATCACGTTAGAGACTCTCTGCATTTGCTCTGTCTCCAAGATGTCATTTTCTTTTTCCAAGCTCTCCAGTAGTGTGGTGAATGATTTTTATCCTGTGATGCTAGCGTACATGGATTGTACATCAAAGCTCACATAAATTTCGTTTCCCGCCAAACTGATTCCTTTGATTATTTGGCAAAATTCTTGTGAATCCTTGACTATATTCGATAACGTGTCAATCACTTTTTTTCATTTGAGGCAGATACATTTCGCCAATTTATGTGTCGGTCCATGTTCTCATTCTCTGTGTCCCTTCGTCAAACCGTATGCTATTGGGGCTCTTGCATGCTTTCGTATGAATGAGTTAATTGTCAATTTCTATATTTCCTCGTTCATATTCATTTCCTTCAACGTTTCTTGCAATACTCCTTTGATTTTGACTGTTGGATTATTTGTTCATCACCATCGGTATGTCGCGTCGTATTGCTTATTCTGGATATCCGTTTCCAAGACACATCTGAGTTAATTTTTCCAGTTTTTTTACCAAGAGCGCAGGATTAGTGAGTCATAGGCTTCTTATGATGATACTTCGAAGTATTCCAATCTTTATCCAATTAGCATAGTTCGACTGAAAGTTAAGAATTATTACGGCATGTGATTTCTTTTGAAAAAGTTTTTTCTTGAGATTTTCCTCAGAGCGATAAGAGTCCGTTATCTTCTCATTTTTGCAATTATAAAATGAAATTTTTACTAACAGTAACACATTAACTAACATTTTTTACACCTACGGATACTCTGCACAATCTGCGTAAACAATTTAAATTTGTTTTGTAAATGTATTGATGGAATAAGGTTGGTATAACATTAGACACATCCACAGTCGTCTTTTTTCTCAATTCTTTCCAACAGCTTTCACCATAATTCATTCGTTACCTTTTGAAGTGTGTAGTGCAAACGAATTATTTTCTACCTTTCGTAGATTTGAAATTCTATAGAGAATTAAAACCAATGCAATAAAATTTATGCCTTACTTTTACTGCTGTATTTTTCTCACTGTTCTTCCTTTCGTAAAGCCTTATTAAATAATAAGACAAAAGGTTTTATCATACATTTAGTTTATTTTTGAATAAGATTTATTTCTTCTTTATATATTTATATTTAATGTTAATGCTAGACTTTAATGGGCTCTTATTTCGATTCCTTTACAGGTATATCGCGCGACCAGTTTATAGTCAGTTGTTTTATTCATTCTTTGGCACGGCGTCCACCATATCCTACTTCCAGAGGAGAACAAGATAGATCTTCCCTTCCATCAACTGGCAAGCAATTAAGGCCATCCACGTCAGGTGGCTATCAGTCAGATGCAGCATGGCAAACTACCTCTATTGTCGATACCAGACTTATGAAAAATGGTTTGATAGACTCTGGGGCTACTCCCATCGTGGATACAGGAACACCTACTGACACACAACGGACAGTTGGGTTTCTAACAGGCGGTTTTGCTGATCTAATGCATGTTTCTTCAGATGATAGTGAGGCTGATCAAGCGAATCCTATTCGCTTCAGACGTTCGATTGATCGGCGGTCTACAGGCACGTTGGTTTCTAATGATCAAATGTTTGAGCCGCGAAGCCCTAAAACTATACATGAAATCACCAGCCCGGAGTTGCTCTATAGCAAATGCCCAGGCGCCGAGTTAGAAAGACTGGAGCGCCGGTTGTCATCTAGAGAGTTTGATGCGTTTCTTGGAAAATCAACCAAGCTTCGTCTGGTTGACATCAGCTTAACAAGACAAGGTGCTTGCTCAGGACAAAATGGTACGACCTACAAATAAATATGAAATGGAACAAATATTACTCATGATTTTTAGTACATCTAAAAAAAATTGTGCATAAAATTTTGTGCCCAAAATATACAAAGGATTTCCGGCTAATTTCTTTGTTAAGAGATATATCATTAGACAAATTAAAAAAAAATACTTGAACCTATTAATATCAGGCCACATATTTACCATACATGTGAGTTTTCATTTGGACAAGTTTTTTATTTTAACCTCTAAACTAAACTCTAAACTAGCCTACAACACTTTTACAGCATTATAATTGCATCGCCCTTCCAATTCCATGATCTATACTTAACACTGAGAGAGCGATGAGGAAAAAAATGTTCTTTAGCGTAATTTATTCGGTGAACCATTATAACAATGTGACCTACTTTTATATCAGCTTTTATTAGTAAATAAAAACGATGGGTATTGATTGTACGTACAAAACATTAAGGTTAGAACGGTGTAAATAAGTCGTGAGATTATTTCCTATTTTGACTGAATTAAAAAAATATAAAGAATGGCTAAATTGTATATTTAAGCCAATTATGAAAGAGATGAGATGTTTTGGGAGCAAGGCCCACTAGACAATTCACGAAAATTGGCTTTTTATAAGGTGGTTATTACTTAATATATACGTATACATTTCACATTGTTAATGTGTCTTTTCAGATATCAATATCGATTGATTTGTCTAATATATAGTCATTGTAGCTTCAATTTCCGAAATAGAGTATCATATTTCTTGTTTTGGAATGACAAATTACTTTTACCTTATTGCTAATTTCATTACGAATATAATCGTAATTTAATGAGTGAACGATGGCAACCTTTTTCGATTAGGTAAAGGCATTTGGCACATACACACTTAAGTTAGCGAAGATCTGGTGTAATTCCATCCCCGTATGGAAGACTTTTAAATTGCCTTCTTCCTTACTGATGTTAGATTAGGTATTTGTTTCTGAAGTTCATTAATTGTATTTGCTTCTACTATACGGGGTGATAAAGGCCTGCAACACGATCTATTTTTATAATTATTTATGATTTGTAAAATCGAATTACTTCTAACTTGATTACCGGTACGAGCTTAAACTTGCATGCCCAATAACATTAAGATTGGGAGGCAAGCAAATGTACACAATTCCCTAGGGTGATTATTCACCTTAAAAGCACCCCAGATGTTAGCGCACATAACTTTATTCCATATGGACTTGATCCATCAGGAACGGATCATAGTGTTTATATAGCCTGCAAAGCTATGTATATACTTGATTTGTCTTTAAGGCACATAAATTAGTGAAACTGAAGAAAGTCTTATCAATGAATCGTTGATGAACTTACTTTACGTTCAAAGTGTTTTAATTTATGTTATATTAATTCCAATAAAAATTATCCGAGAACTTAATTTTTTGCAGAATTCATAAAATCTTTGATCGTCTCTGAACTATTTATAATAGTTCCTATTAATTATATAGGTAGCATGAAAGATTACCTCTGTTATGGAAGGTAATTTATCTTCGGTATAAGTAATTTTCGGAAATTTAGTCACCCAAGGTGAATTAAAGTGATTTAAGGGCGAATAGTTTAGGTTTCCCACAATGAGATGGGTAAACGTCATGAGGGAACTAAATTTAACTTGGTGTTTCTTTCAAAAAGGCTAGCTCATTCTGGCTGGACTGCACTTTAGAATTCGCCAAGTTCTCATCAGAATCCTCAGAAGGATTCGATACTGGGCCGTGAGTATCGTGGCGAAATTATCATGTCATCATACGGCCACGGTTTAAAGTAAGAAGTCAAAGAGTTGAGATCTAAAGACAGAGTAAGGAATTATTTATAAGAACTTGTGAAAAAATTAGAATCATATATGATGTCGATACTGGCATGCTTTTCATTTCATTTGAGAAGACGGGTAGAAAGGAGCTGTAGATTGACCTCACTGGCTACCGAAATAGGGTTGCCTTGGTCTTTTGTCTATTGAATCGTGTAAAGAAGACCTCGGATCACCATTCTACGACCCCGATGACTCTGTGCTTAACTTTCTTCCGTCATATGATGGACATCTTTGGAGCCAGAAACCATTATTCACGGACAATCACCCAAAAACACTAAGCCAAGAAAGTACAAAACAGCCAACCAAATCATGGAATGCCTCATTAAGATCGCAACGTGAGGTATAAGAAGTAAGTAGGATCTAAACCGGTCAACTTTCTTGGTTTAGTGTTTTTTTGTCATTATTCGTGAATAATGGTTTCTGGCTCTGACAATGTCCGTCACAGGACGGAGGAAAGCTCAGCACGGAGTTTTCGGGGTCGTGGAACGGTGACCTGAGCTCTTCTTCACACAATTCAACAGGCAAGAGTCCGAGGCAACCCTCTGTCGATATCTGGTATTGCCAATCTACGAATCTTTTTCACCCGTTTTCGCAAACAAAATGAAAGCTATGTCAACATTAATTTACTAAGAAATTAATTTAAACACATCTTCGCTTCATATATGGCCTCTATTAACATATATTTATATATGGAAATATATATATATATTTATATTTAACTTTTTACGATTTGATATCTCTGTCTGTAATAGTAGGCTTTTATAACTGACTTGCAATTAACGCT